CTTGGACAGTGCACTGAACCCCAAGACAAATATCAAAGGCATTACTTGCTATCGGATAACATTTGAATGTATAAGGTGTTAATTAGATACAAATAAGACTTTCCCTGAGGTGTCAGTTCTTGTCAAGGGATTATGATATTGTAATGTTGTTGAACACCTTTGTGGGGAACTTGTCACCATGGTATGATTGATAAGACATTGCATTCAGCTGTATGACAGAACAATCATATTATAACAACCATGATGGCTGACTGCGTCTGCAGGTGGTGCTTCTCATCAACTGGAGAAGGCATGTTGCTGCAGGTCTTGGACTGAATCAATGTTTTGCAAATAGATTAAGTAGACTGTTTGATTTGAATCTGTTCTCGTCATTTGAAACTCTTGATCTTTTCAAAGAAGAAATTCAATAAAATAAAAAGAAAGAAACAATTGTATAATTTAAAAAAATATATGTGGTGGACTCTCCCGTTGTATTCAACATATGAAGGTCAAGCAGCTCAGTTCGTAGGAACTGACAGCCCAGACACCAGCACATATGATTTGATTATAGTGGTGAAGGCTTTGTGCAGAACCAACCACACTTTTTGAAGGGCCAAATAGAGAGATCTGGTGCACAGTGTGCCACAAGGTCCCCAAACGACCATCTGCAGGTTTTGAATTCATGGTTGTCCTTCTCCTAGACCAGTTGCCATCCAAGGCTATAAAACCCAGTCTGTCCTGCTATTTACTCATAGCTGGAGGGAGAAGCAGAGCATTAATACTTTTCCCAAGGGTATTATCACATAAGTGAATGTAATGGATCCGAATGGAATTTAAACTCGGCTCTCTGATTCCTCAATCCAAGCTGCTATCCACTTCTCCACTGTATAAAAATTAAAAAAATATATGTACACTCATTAAAATGTATATTAATCTTTATTGTCTTATCATAACTTCTAGACTTCTTTCACATCAAGTTTTGAAAGAATATTATTTTTACATGTAATGTGTATCCTTTTATCCTTTTAGTAGCTGTGATAGCCAACATAATGCAAGCCAAGTCCCCTGACTTTAATTTTCTTCACTCTGCAGTTATTTCTTGGTCTCTGCCAGGAAATGATATTAACAAAATTGCCATAATCATTTTTTTTTAACAAAGTTACTTAGTTATTCAAATAAAAACATTTTATTTACTGAAAATGGTAACCACTTTAGCATTTAGATCACAGCTTGTTAATAAAAAGTAAGCAATTTTTAAAATAAAAAACTAAAACCATTCATTAAGTTTAAAAACTTTTTTAATGATTGTTTATTTCTGCAAAAAATCAACAAAATGATCATAAAAAGACCAGATTGGAAATGATTAAAAACACATTTTTAAAATTTGATATATAAAGTTGAATATGCAAATTATCTCCATCAAACAAAAATCACAAAATTAAATCATATATACTGGTAGATATCAACGATAGTCAAATTTATTGGATGTTGCAAGTTTCTATATTTGCACATACTGACACACTGAAAATGGATTTTATATATATATATATATATATATATATATATATATATATATATAATTTGATAAGTTCCAATTAGATATATATAGCCACTTTGAGTTTTATATAATAAACAAAGAGGACATTTATACTTAACATCAGAAAGAGACAGTTGAAATTTACAATTAACATAATGGGGGAAAGAGGGTTTGGAAAATTTAATACACACAGGATACTGAAGGCAAGAGGGACTGAGGAAAACAACATATAACCTACCAAGTTAGCTTGAGTAAATGGATCATGGAACAGTGTTAAAGTCAAATAATGAAAAGATAAAATTTATTAAGAACCAGAAAAGGCATTAAATCATAGAGGGCAATGATCACCAACATCTTCCACAGAACGTATATATACATTTATTTTTCACTTACATTTACTTTGGAATTTTGTGAACTCTATAGATCTTGGAGAAGAGTTAAACAAAACGTGCTTTCTTAACAATAAATCAATGCCTCCTTAACAATAAAGCACTGAAAAAATCATCAATTTTGGCTTCAAAAACAGTATTTCAAATTAACACACACACACACACACACACACACATATATATATATATATATATATTTTTTTTATTTTGTATGTGGAGTATTTAATGGAAAGTGCTCAATATCAGTGATAAAGTTAACATATTCATTTGTATGGATATGAATTTGTAACCCTAGGTTTCACACTTTTGTGATCATCAAACTGGTTTATTTTTTAAAATTGGATCTATTTATGCTTGTTTTACTATATTTTGTCGTGGGGGGTGGTAAATTGTTTGAACTAAAATGCGTACACCTATTTGTGTGTGATATTGTCATCCCAAACAGGCTTGGAGGGAAATTCTCCCTACAATCACCAAAACATAGTCAAACAAGCATAAATAGATCCATTTTTAAAAAAATAAACCAGTTTGTCCTGAAACCCAGGGTCACAAACTCATACCCATACAACTGAATATATATATATATATATATATATATATATATATATATATATATATATATATATATATATAGGAATTTGTAGGTCTGATGAATTGGATCGTATTTATGATTACAATGGAATAAATTATGACCATGGAATATTAGTGTTTAAGCCTTTTAATTATATATATATATGAAACTGAGAGCTAGTTAAAAGCATTTTGAACCCAAAAGATTTTTTGTGTTTTAAATAAAATAAAGTTATCTTCCTCCTCCTTTTCAGAAAATCAAGTTCAATCTAAATAAATCTGATAAATGGTTTGATTTTGATCAAATGTCCAGCAATGAAATCTTCATGTCTCTCATCATTAATGAATTCCTTAACTATTTTTTACATTTAAATTCATATTTCATTGTCAAGATTCTAACTGAAATCTTCCTCCAGTCATCATATCACAATATGGATTTGCTGAAAAGTTCTCAGCCCAAACCACTTCGCAAAATCTGACCATTTTTTTTTTTTTTTTGAGCAAGCAAGATGATAATGCCACTCAGAATGAAAATATAAGAGAATGAGTAAAAGGAACCGGAACCCCAATCCTAACCATAAAACAAGGGATAAACCTCTACTCCTGTTCAAAAGAGTGTGTAGGAGTGTGAACAGGACAATAGATAAACCTATCTATGTGTTTTGGAATCTTTCTTGGTCAGGCTGAGAACTTTGCAGCAATTTCTAATATCAACAAAATAAAAGGATCCTTTATGAATTAAATCTTTCCAAGAAAAAAAATATAAGTAAACAGATATCCCTCTATTTCGTAATAAAAAGGTCAGAGATAAAAGGTACTGAATATGATTCTCTGTACTGGAACCAATTATACAAAGCAACTGATAGCTATGATTTGTATATATATATATATATATATATATATATATATATATATATATCCCTGATGAGTAATGTTTGGGTAGCAAACAACATATATTTTATAACAAGGGATTGTTGATAGATAAGCAAAATCCTTTCCAAATATTTTACTTCTTAGAGCATTAGAAAATAGTCATATACCTTTATCTAACTAATAAGCTCAGTCAGTACTTGGATGGGGGAATGCTTTAACTCTTTAGCATTCGACCTGCCTTGTAAATATTGGCTCTTAAGGTTCAGCCTACACTAATCTACCCCATGTATAGTCTGCCATAATATATAATGACATCATTGCAAACAACACGAGATGCAAACAGTGAGACTTTGAGGACCAATATGGGGGGGGGGGTGATTATGTTGAATGCTAAAGGGTTAAATAACTGACAAAAAACAAATTATTTAATTAATATCTACCCCACATGCATCAACTCTGTCAAATTCATAATTCACTGGATCTGGCAATCATTGGTGGCAATTAAGGATACTTGTTAGACATCAAATTTTTCAAAAAGGCTGTTTATTCTAGTATTAATATTATTATTATTTTAAATTAATCATGACTAGGATCAGTTGTGTTTGATTCCATTTTAGAGAATCCTAAGGGCTTATATAGATCCAGCCTCAGAATGCCAAGCGTGTTTGATTCCATTTTAGAGAATCCTAAGGGCTTATATAGATCCAGCCTCAGAATGCCAAGCGTGTTTGATTCCATTTTAGAGAATCCTAAGGGCTTATATAGATCCAGCCTCAGAATGGCAAGCGTGTTAAATATGTTCAAATTCTTCAAAATATGAGGTTATTAATTATTTATGACCAGTATTTTTTCACCTAATTCTGATTATGTTTTTAATCATTTCACCCCAAGCAAGGTGATAATGCCACTAGGAGGTGGGGGGGGGGGGTTAAAGGGAGTAAAAAAAGTATGAGAAGACTAATGAGACGTAAGGAAAGGATAATAAAGGAATTTTGTTCAGAAAGACAGAAGATGGTAATTGATGTTTGTTTTTAAATTTTTGAAGATTGTAGGTGGCAGTGAGCAAAATATTGGAAAGGAGTTCCACAGGTGAGAAGTGTGAGAAAAGAAACTATTACAATAGAAGTGGCGGATGGATGTACTTAGTTCAACAGTAAAACAGTGGGACCTAGTTGCCAATCTAGTTGCATGCTTAAATTCATGTAGTCAAGGCACTAAGTAAAAAAGCTCATCAGAACAGTTGCCATGAAAATATTTGTAGAAAAGATAAAGGGAAGCCATGTCAAGCTGGTGAAAAATTGACTGCAGTCGAGATACCAGATCAGCATCAGTTACATTATGGGCCTTGCTTTGAATTTTATCAAGGATCTTGAAATATACAGTGGAAACAATAGACCCAATATAATAGCATTATTCAATGCATAGACGAATAATAGATTCATAAATGTGTAAGGTGGATGTTAAGAAGATAATTTTCAGACATGACACAGTGAACCAACTATTGTAGCCATCATTCTACAGTCATTAAAAAAACAAAAAATTAAAAAAGCCTTTGGTGAAATTTGAACTCTGTCTGTCCAAGACTTTACCAATTAGTCCACAAAACTAACCAGTTGCAGAATCTGAATTCTAACTATTATAGCTTTCAATCTTATGGCCATATCACATTGAAACACAGATTCTCATCCGATCACTGAAGTTAAGCAACATCGAACATGGTCAGTACCTAGATAGGTGACTGCTTGGGAATACCAGATGCTGTAAGCTGGGCTGTGTGGGTGGCATAGTAGATAATAGCTAGAAATTGGGGAGCCGAGTTTGAATCTATTTATTTCTCAAAAATTCTTATAATTCAAGAATGTTTCCATTTTAAATAAACTTAAAAAGGTTGATAGACCACAAAAAAACAAAACAAATCAATCCATCTTTCATCTCTGAGACTGTCATTCTATAGTCATCAGTAACAAGCAATAATTGGAAATAAATAGGTGTTTTATTTACTAATGTCTTTTGTACTAATCTCAACTGAAATCAATGTGTAAGTATATGTACATATCAGAGCCTGGTGTAAGGTATTTTATGAAGTAAAAAATCTCTGTCTATATTTCTTGGATGAAGTATCATAACTATTTACATAGCCTAGTGGATAAAAGCATTGGTTGAAGTAATCCAGTGACTTGACCCAAAGAGTTGTGAGTTCAATACTTGACCATAGTAGAGGTGAACAAAAACTTAGCAAGTTGAGTTACTAAAGGGAAATAACTGAAACTGAGATATCAAGAAAAGATCTAGCATGTGGAACTAGAACAATCTACCCCAGTGGACTAAATAAAGGGTTTGGTTTAAAATTCCAAAGTATATAACTTGAAGAAGTCCAGAGCTTACAAAGGCCAAATCATGAATATGGCAATAAAAATGAAGACAAGAGTCTGAACAATGTAAATAGTATATAAAGGGTTAAGAAATGTCTAATTTTGTAGTGAGTTTTTCTTTTTGATAACCAAATAATGGTTTATGCTTTCATCCAGTAGGGTTTCTGATGAGGTTCATAGAAAGAAGGTAACAGATTTAAATCAGATGGAAGACATTGCCTTACACATTAGATGAACATAAAAGAGATGGTCACATTATAAATTAATCATGAAGTATTTGAGTTATTCCTAAAGAAAATTTTAAGTGTATTTAAGACTCTGAACATTATTGATCTTGTTTAAGATTATTTTGAAATTAGAAATTGACTGAGTTTATCAGCCTTTTGTTTTTATGCATGTGCTGAGTTTAAAGTTTTCTGCATTAATATTTGTGATAGAATTCTAGTTAAAAAAAAAAATCACCAAAGGTTTGCCTTGTTTCTTTCTTTCTTTCTTTTTTTTTTTTTTTCTTACATATCTTTAAACTTGGAAGGAGAGAGAAAACTTTAACCAAAAGGCTATTCATCTCTGAGTGTGTGTGTCTGTGTTTTTTTTTTCTTTTTCTCTTATACCATTTATTTTAATTTCTTTTTAGAATTGCTTTTTTTGGGGAATATTTGGTTAAATCACCAGTCAGAAAAATTAAGGAGAGAGCAAAAAACAAAAAAAAAAAACAAAACAAAAAAACAAAACACATCCAACTTGTAAAGTCTCTGTCAGGTGATCACTTGCATTTATTTTCTCTTTTTACCCATTGTGCCTTCTCACGCTTCTCGATGCATCGTTCTCCTCTCATTGTTCATTGGTTTTTTTTCTTTCTGCTTACCTATGACAATTAATTAAAATTCAATCACTGACTTAAAAAAAAACATATTTTATTTATTGCTGTCAACTTTGAAGAGTATATTCTGCAATGCTTTGTTATAAAGTCAACTTCAATTTGTATAAATTATTCTCATCCCCGCCAACTCTCAAAATGTCCGTCATTTTCCAAAGATTGTCAGTGGTTCATTCCCACTCCCAACACTCCCACTAAAAAGGCCGACACTGTCCAATTGTTAGGCCCTCATTACAGTATTGTAACATCTTGGATATTCCTTTTGTCATGAATTGATATTTTGATCAATACATTTCTTTGTTCTTTTTTTTTTTTTCTTTTGATTTTTTTTTTTTGTTTTTATTTCTTTCTTTTCTTGTTGTGTCTTTTGCGCCTTGCAGCATTACTCCTATCTCTGTCCACTTAGGTAATTGAGACATATTTAGGCCTGAGTGATTTGAAAAGAAAGAAAAAAAAATTGGTCAGGAATTCCAGTCATATGCTAACTCGTTAGGAAATTATTATTTCTTCCTCTTTGTTTAATTACAGTTTGACAATTACAATTAATCTGCAAAATAGCTATTTCCTTGCTGCCTTATGCTACCACAAATGTAATAAAATTTCATCATAGACTTCTACATGGAAAATGTAGACGGTTATTGAAATATTCAGATGGATGTGTGTCTGTCTTGGTCTAAAGATATGTTGAGGAATATACATGAAAGTGAATTTTTTTATTCCATTCATACACACACAGTCACTTTGCATTGTAATGTATGTATCTTTCTGATAGAGTTTATAAAATTATGGATTTTTCAATATGCACATACATGTGAATACATACAAGAATGTGGAATTTATTTTGTTTCTTTGTGTGCGCACTATGTGTATCTGCGTGTTGTTTTGTTTCTTTTATAGTGATTTTCCATAGCTTAGATGTTGCACAAAGCTAAAAGCAGGGGATACCCAGTGAGGATCAAACTCACAACTCAGTCATAATTGTTCTAGTGAGACAAGCTTGCTAACCATTACACTGCCTCAAGGTACCCCCACAGACATATGTGGGTGTGTGTGTTAGTAATCTATATAAGTGTGTGTGTATATATATATATATATATATATATAGGTAACTACACTTGTCTCAGAAAACCTTTGGTTTCTTGATTTGCTAATGATGAAATCAATTTCAAAGGAAAAAGGTTTTAAAAAAAGAAAGAGCTAGAAACATGAACGTCTGTCGAAAATAATCATACAGTATACAGGTCCAAAGCCCAAAGAAAAAAACCCCGATACGAGTAATCAACTCACTAAAAAATTGCTCAATACAAAAGTAGAGCAGACCTAGTCAAACCTAGAGAGCCAGACAAACCTAACAAGGTTTCACCTAAGCGGATGGTCAGGGAAAGCTTTCCCTGGCGATCCGCTTTAAACAAAAAATCTAGGTTTCTCTGGCTTGTTTTTTGACATATATATAGTGTATTTGGGTAACAATCCCTCTTTTATACAAGTTTCATTAAAGACAACTGACAAGGCACTGCAATTCAGCTTAGTATTTAATTTTTCTTATATTCGTATAAAATGTGTAAAAACTGCCCAAAAGTTGTGCATATCGGAGCACTTTCAGCTATTCATTTAGCCATTATCAAGGGCGATTTTTATTTTTAACTGAGTGTGTGAAATTTTTTTTAATGTATGTATCTGAAGTTATAGGAATGTTTTATTTTCTAAACATGGTAAGCATGTTTTGGCCATGTTCATAGTTAATGTTATTGAGTGTAGGCTTTTATTAGAGCTTCCATTATTTTTTATCTTTTATTATCTATGACATGTGGATGAGGCTATTATAATTGTATTTTCTAATATTTTCTTGCAGATGGAGTTTGATAGATTTCCTTGTGTTTAAATGAGTCCTAAGTGAGCTATAGTCAGATAGGTGTAACATGAGTCATCCAGATAGGCATGTAGTGGTATGACCAATATAATTTTTTATGAGTTTGGTTTGAGCAAAAATATGGATCCTTAAGGGACATAAATATATACATACATATACATACACACTGATATACACACATATATATAATAGTATGACAATATCGTGCATATGTGTGGTCCAACTAACATAACAAATTTAGTCCAATGAAGTCCTGAAGGACAAAACGAGTCAGAAGAAATCTTTTCCACTTTGTCATACAATTTTCCCCAATATATATTGTTATCTCATACATACATACCTACATATACATATGCATATATATATATATATACATACATACAAATATAGATAACTAGACTCGTTTCGAAAAACCCTCAAATTTTTGATTTGCTGATAATCAAATCAATCTTGACTGTTATTTACAGTATATATATTTATTTTAGGATATTAAAATAAAAACATTAAAAATCACTACACAATTAGAATTGTGTTTTGATACTACAAATGTGTCTCCTCAGGTGATGTTAAACTACTGATGAGTGAACAATTGCACATTTTACATTTATTTATCTCATTTTACCTGAAGATATACATACCATATATATTGCCAGTATATTTTCATTTAAACATGTCTGAATAAACAATATATGTTGTGCTTACTTCTACTAAATAAGATCCTTTCATAATATTGTATAAGTTTCTTGTTTCATGTTATATATATATATATATACACACATACATATAATGTTAGGAATATATGTATATTATATATATATATATATATAATGTTAGGAATATATATATATATATATATATATAATGTTAGGAATATATGTATATTATATATATATATAATGTTTGAAATATATATATATATATACATAATGTTTAAAATATAAATATATTATATAAATAATGTTTGAAATATATATATATTATATATATAATGTTTAAAATATAAATATATTATATATATAATGTTTGAAATATATATATATTATATATATAATGTTTAAAAATATAAATATATTATATATATACTGTTTGCTATATATATATATTATAGATATATAATGTTTTGGAATATATATTATATATATATAGGTTTGAAAATATATGTATATATATATATTTATAACATTTGAAATTTATATAATGTTTGATATATATATATATATATAATGTTTGTAATTTATATAATGTTTGAAATATATATATATATATATATATATATATATATACATACATACACACACACACACTTAAGAAAAGGAATGTACAAATTACCTATCATATTTACTGGATACATGTGTTTGACTAGTCATATCTGGTTTTTTAAACAGTAAAAATCGGTGCCTCCTACTGCTTTGTGCATTAAAATTTTTAATAAAGACAATATATGAAGAGAAGTAATTCTAGTCAGAATATTAATATTTATAAAATTGACAAATCCATAGGTGTTTTATTAAAATTTTACTTCATGAAGCTTGCTGGATAGTGAGGAGGTGTTTAAAGTTGAAGTTCTTTTCTTACCAAGCTGTTGATGTTTGACTATATTAAGAATGACTGAAACTAATAATACTGTATTATATTTACAGTAAAAT